AAGAGGTTAAAGCCACACAATGTCCAGGCTTATATCAATCATCAGTCTTATACCTAAAGTTTAATACAAATATCCATCTAAACAGATGGTCAGTTTTATACTATATGCAGAAGTGTGAAATTCCCTGATAACCTTGCATTTAGGTCAATCAAGGCTAATACATTCTTCTTGATGAGGGTCTTGCACTGGAGTTTCTGCAGCTGAAAGCACACTGACTGAACCCCCATTTTTCTCCATCAGCAGCATGTCACGTGACTGGTCCAGGAAGCGTCTGTTGACGGTGCAGCGGGTAGGTCGTGCCACCACGGGGCAGGTTCGTATCCAGTTCGCTTTTCACGTTGTCTGTCAGGTACCTTTAAATGTGTATATATTTTTTTGTAGTTTAGTCATATGAAGCATTTTGGCAGAAGGATGGTGGAGCGCTGTGTGTTTGTAACGTTAGCGGAAGTGAAGTTTGACAGCTAGCAGGTGGAATAGTGGACATAAACGTCCATCTGTCCGCGTGTTTTTATCTGCTAACGTTACCACACAAGTAAACGACTACGTAGAAATGACTAGTAAATAGAAATGAAATGAATGGGTTTTGCTAAAGTAGCTCAATATTTAAACTAACAGTCCATCGAGTCCTGTGTTTGAGGTCCAATAATGAACTTACCTACCTACGCTAACGTTATCATCCGTTAAGAGCGGGTTGGTTTCTAATGCTTTCATTACAACTTTCATTCTTGCAGCTAAAGTCGTGGTTTTAAACTGTTTCATCTGCCTGCAACCAGGTTTGTTTTTTTAGGATGTTTCGTTTCCTTCCTGACTACAGTGACAGGAAAACGCACACATCGTAGAGGGTGCAGAATGTAGCGCAACACGTGTACAATAGGATGTGTTCAGGGAGCCTTTTAAACTGGAGAGTGTGTGTGGTGTTGTTTTTCGGTTTCACTGTGAACCGGAGCAGTGCCGAACAGCGACAATGTCAGGGTCAGGGGCTGAGACACTTAGAAAGCCTTTAACTGCACGAATTTGTGTGCGCTGTTCACAAATTTAAAGCAAGGGTAAGCAATTTATTTCAGAAGCATTTTTAGTTGTATTTGTTGAAATTATCATTACATCCCAACAGCATTCAAACGTACTATGGCCCTCGGTCTTGGAATGATGTCCAGACCAAGCTCAAACTTAAGTCCCTAATCTCTTTAAATGATTTTAAACATAATAAAGGAAGTGTTAGCTGCAGCTGCATTGCCAAATAAATATATGATCTAATATTGCTGTCTTGTCTATGAACTCTATTATGCAGGGTATTATGCTTTACTTAACGTTGTTATGTTGTGTTTTGCTGTTGTACCTAATGTTGTTGTGATTGGTTATTGACCCTGTCTTGATTAGTTGTCACTTGTAAAACAGGTTTTAATCGCAATGTGACTTCCTAATCAAATGAAGGTAATAAAAATCAAATAAATCAAAATATCCAGTATCTGTGGCTGTTGAAGTACTGTAATAAGTATGGCCAATTATTTTATTTGGTCTTAATGAAATGATTAGCTGGCGTGCCTGCCTGCCTGAGCACAATCTGTGTGTGCACTCTTTGCGCATGAAAATGTGTTTTGGAGGAGTGTTTCCAATGTTGCCCACCCCAGCTTTAAACCTGCAGTGCAGAACTTTTGTCTCCCCCCTCTGACAGTGACAGTAATTGCACAACTCTGTAGACAGGGGCGTACCTGGCAGTAAAGGCTAATTTATACTTCTGTGTCGTTAATCAACATTGTGCGAACTCGTTTGGCGAGGGCTTCAATGTAAAAACAATGTAAAGACAAAACTTGTCTGTAACATAAAAACTCACTTTTGTGACAAAACTTGAATGTGACCTCCCCTTTTTTTTTTTTTTTTTCGTGTTTATGTCTGTGTCTTCAAAGCAATTAGTGAAAAATGGAAAGCATGAAGTGAGGCTGCAGGAAGCCATATGCTCTTTTACCCAGTTTTACTAATTTGACTTTATTTGCTTGTCTTCATCTTGTCGTTGAGTTTTACTGGACTATTGATACTGAACCAAGAGGTTTAGAACTTTATCTCAGCTTGATTTGCATTAAAGTATAGAAGTGCACAAGGTGTGCTCTTCCAATCTATGTAAAAGAGAGTATCTTTTGGATGTTAATAAGTACAATTCTGCACGTTTTTGCTGGAACATGATGACATCAGTCAAACTTCAATTTGAGGATGCGAGCAAACTCAAAAGATTATTGTCTGAAAAACAACGCAAATAAAAGGTGGGCATAATTTACATCTGTCAGTCCTGCTTTTACCAAGCTCTTTGCTGCATTGAAAATCCACATACTGCTTATGAGGTTGGTGAGATACGATAGGATTTATTATTCTAAGTTCACAGTCATAAGGGAGGGGGATGCTTTCAATGAAAAGTGAGTACTTTGGACTGAATGCTAACAACATGGTTATTAGTCACAAAGCAGGGCAGCTGAATAGGCTCATCAGTTTTTATAATAGTGAATGAATAGTTTTTAAAAACATCCATGCAGTTCTTGTCAGAAGACTTGTGCTATTTACTTCAGACCCCTCGGCTCTCGGATCTCTGCAGTGCTTTCTGTCCGCAGTCATAAACAAAACTGCTTGTCTAGTCATTAGACAAGACAAGCAATGCACTTTGGTTAATGTTATCTCACTTGGCACCTGTTATTACCGCTTGATGTTGAGAAATGCCTCAAGGAAAATTCCTCATGATTTCATCAGTGTAGTACAAGTCAGTACCAGGGAGTGTGATGGCCTGTGTGTGCTAAGCAGAAAAGAGGATGCCCTTTTTTGCTCACTCTTAATGGCAATTTTAATGGATAATGAGTCAGTTTGGAGCGTGAGTGTGGTGTGAAAGAAGATGTTCTGTGCTGATCATGCTGATGTTCTGTGCTGCTCATAAAGAACATAAAAACCTGAATGAAGATTGTGTATTTTAAGTTAATATGCCACTTTATTGATTCCTGTGGAGAAATGAGCAGAAAACGTAATAGTCTAGAAGTCAACAGAGAATAAGGTTATGAAGCACTTTGTAGTTTAAAATAAGCAATGTAATGAGAAATGAACATAAATTAAACAGGAGGAAAACAGTGTGCTTGTCAAATATATCATATTTCAGTATGTTGTTAATCTTTGACATGTTTAAAATCTAAATGTTTTGACCACAGTAATCCTTAACAAAGTAAATCACAACTAATGTTCAGCTGCTGTTGCCGCAGTCAGTAATCATGATGTGGCCTTTGCTGTTTGCATTGCCACTGCGTAAACATGATTGTGGAACAGTAGGGATTCCAGATGTTGTACTCAGTCATAAAATGAGCTTTGTACTATGGGTGTTCTGTTCATCATGGACAATTTTCAGTCTCCCAAGAGAGAGAAGGGGGGAAACTAAAATGTTCTGTGTCATTAATCAGGTTTACATCTCGGCCATGGCTATAGCAACAGCACCAATAATGCCACGCAGCTGCAAAATACAGCTGCATGTTTACTAACTAACATTTTAATGTTAGTTTTTCATATAACACATGTCAATGAAGGCAGTAATGAAGATGTAGTATGTACTTCGAGACACTTATGATTTGAAATGTCTGTTGGTGGCACATTTGCACATTTTGCATGTTGTGGTGAGAAGAACACAGTTTTACCTTTGACTCCTATCAGTCTTTTTGGATGTGAAGCAGTGTGTGGATTGTTTGCCTGTTCTCATGTCCCTTCTAATTATAATCCTTTATTCATTTTGACTTATGAGTATTTTTATTTTAATCATGTGTGACTTTTCTGTGTCAGAAGGGAACAGGGCTTTCAGAATTGAAGGACGGATCACTAGTGCATCATTTCCCCGAGCAGTTTTTCAGACATTTCAGCATTTCAAAGTGTGGTTTAAAGGGGAACTCCACTGATTTTACACATTAAAGTCTGTTTACAGGTCTTAAAGAGTACTACTGCACATATGACAAAAGTTGTATAATATAAGTGAGCATAACAGACCTTTGTATCTTCTTCTTGTTAGCGTGCTCCTTATCTTTGCTTGAGGTTAGAGGCTAGAGGCTACATTAGCCTTTCCTAGTGTAACACACCAGAATCTGTCTGACATTGTGGGTAATGTAGGCACCAGGTTTTGACAAGGAAGAATACATGAAACAACTCTTCTTCTACTGCATCAATTTCGATCCTTTTTTTTTTAATGGTCCAAGGTGAGTTCTGTTACTCTTAATGACCAGACAGGGTGTCCAGACAATAGACGGCAAGTCTTTGTAGCTAATAGGACACTGATCCCTACAATAAATAATACCAGGTTAATGGAAGAAGGGCCTAACAAGCTTTCTTGCCAAACATTGCTTTGGTACTGGTTGCTTTCCAATACAGAAAGAAACAAATAGATGTTTTGAGATCCTTTGAGTCTTTAAATATTTTTGAATATTTTACTGCTACAGTGTCCACCCAATGGCTCCTAGCTCTCCATATATTCGACATTAAAATCCCTATGTTGAGATCCCCTAAGATCTGTTTTTCTACAGTGCAATAAGAGTGCGTAAACTACAGACAAGACTTAAATACTCCTGCAGTTTATTGATTTTCACTGCAGTTTCAGCATGTAATCATCACCAGGGGGCGGGGGTCATGGTAAATAAGCTAAATAAATGATATAAGTGTACTTGCAGAATCACCAAAAAGTTGCTCGGACTTTCCCAGCACTATACCAACAGCACGCTTTTGTACTGGATACTCAACGCCCTTGAGCAAAGAGCAAAGTCTACACCCCTGCTCCACCACTGATCATTACACTCAATATCACGGCACCACATCGCTGACTTTCAATGGGCTTTAGGATGGCTAGAGAAAGCAACATTGCTAAGTAATTCATTTGCTCATCAATTTTGTCTTTGGAGATTTGTGTAAGTTAATTTGTGTATTTGAAGGTTACATTAACTATTGCGTTACATTCATAGTGTTCAAATGATTTAGCTGTGTATATTGGCTCTTAGGTGTTTAAAATTAACTTTTAAGTTTAGTTCTTATATATCTTATATTAACTTAAATATTGTTAAATCTTGGGACTTTTGACATTTCAAATGAAATGTAGCAGTGTCTATTGTGCGTGTGTTGAAAATGTTGAAGATTCGTCTTATGAGTAGGAATCGGACGATTCTAGGATCAGACGTTTAGGGGTGCTCAGCCCCTAATGAGAATGTAGCATGCATACAATGACTTTCAAAAGTATTCACTAATTGGTGGAGAGTATAAGTAGGCCTACTAGAGAGGAGCTGGTGCAGAGCAGAGCGGGTGAGTCAAGGGCGTCACTTTGTGTTGAAAAGTGGTGGGGACATAAGGGCTCAGATTAGGGGCGTGATGATACATTTGGGTCATGAGAAGTGACAATGCACGACAAAAAGATTTTTAGCAGTAGATTAAATATTTGATGTTGAAATATATGAGTGGGGTGTCTGGGGGTCCTCCCCCAGAAGATTTTGAGCATTAAACTCTTAATTTCCTGCATTCTGGAAACATTTTCTGAACCAAATTTATGGCTAAATGTCTTTGTTTATATGAAGGGAAACACAAAATTCAGGTGGCAGGTGACAATTCAGAATATAAAAATATAATGTAATATAATGCAGTAATCAGTAGCTTTTTTGGGTTCCTTAAGTTACTTTCTTGGACAATGCACATGTGTTTCTTCTAGATTTAAATTGCATTGCATGTTTTGTTGTTGTGCAAATAAAAATTCTCAAAGCAATTTCATTTGTTATTTAACATTTCATGTTGCAAGCTATTTTTTAGAACATTTTTAACAAATGCTTTCAAAAAGTGATGGGGACAAAATCAGCCAATTCAAAAAGTGGTGGGGACATGTCCCCAGCATCCCCAGTGTAAATGACACCTATGCCCTCTCAATATTGAAAGTATTAGTTTGGCCCAGACTGACTGACACCCAAAAAGCGTTCCACTGCAGCTGACCTGTCTGCCAGTGCGGTCGTGGATCTTTAAGTAAAACATTAGAAAATTGAAAAATGGCAGCATTTAGGGACATTAAATTTTATGTTTAATGTAAGTAAAGCTATATGAAACTGGCTAATTGGTTGTCCCTTCTCTTACTTCTCCAAAAATCTAACTTTAGAGAACAAAAAAAATTATTTTCAGAAAATAATGATAAATTATTGTATTATTTTTAGGGGTGCTTAGATGAAATTTAGAAGTGCTGAAGCACCCTTAAAAATTGTCTAAAATCGCCCCAGGTATTTCTCAGTTGTAACTTTTCTGCTATCTGACAATTTATAAAGTGTGCAAACATTTTTCGTTTAATTTCATTTAGAGGAACAAAAATTTTGAGAAAAGAAATGTGATTATTTACTCAATCCAACTATATTATTATATATATATATTGGCAACAAATTTGATAATGGATTCAACAGTTGCTCGTGCTCGTTGCTCTTAATTGTGAGGAATTGCTGATTTTCTTTGTCAAATGTGATCTCTTTGCGTTTGGATTATTGTTATTGTTGTTGTTATCTAAAGTAAGACATTTGAATACATCACCTTGGGCTCTAGGAAATTATAATGTGTTTTTTCAGTATTTTCTGGCATTTTATAGACAAAACAATCAAGAAAATAATCGCTAGATTGACTAATTGTGGAAAATAATTTTGACTGTTATTTTTAGTCATATGTTTAGCTTTGATGATGTCGTAATTGCTCAGTGGTGATAATTGCCTACATGTAATGTCCAGAGGTTGTGTTAGACTTTCTTGTTGTCCTTCATTTTGACAGATGGGGTCGTAAAACTTCTGCCATAGTCTATGATTACCTGTCATGTTAATTAATATAATTAATTAATAATTTTTTTAAAAATTAGAATGAGACATATAGCCTATTTAAAAGCAAATAATTTGAAATACAACTCAATCAGAATCTTCGGACACTCAGCTACCGTGGATTTTGCAATAGCTTGGTTATGTAGTGATATAGCCAGCAAGACAACGAGGTCATGTATGTCAGATCAAGGACAAGACTACTAGACAATAGCTAATTAATATGCATACTCGCCACCAACTGGACAGGGGGTCTACTACAGGTGGTCTACATGTAGTTAATGACAGTGTTGCATGTGAATTACTTAATGTTAGACTAGATCGCCCTTAGTCTTAATCTGTCAAAATGACTGATGGCCTTCAGATTTTCCCGTCAATGTCGACAGAGAACATTCGGTTAAAGCGACCTTATATAATGTCTCTCTTTGCTGTGTTCACACAGGAGCTTGGACGGTTAGGACCAGAGCATGTTTGTGACTGTGTTCCTGCTTCTGGTCACTCTGTGTGCCCAGGGAGGAAATGGCGAGGAGAGAGAGGAGGCGCAGAGACCCGGCCATGTGTCGGTGGTGATAGTGGGAGGCACAGGTGACCTGGCAAAGAAGTACCTGTGGCAGGGCTTCTTCCAGCTGTACGTTAACCAGGTCAGCAGTGGAAACACCTTTTCCTTCTACGGCGGAGGACTGTCACCTGCTGACCAGGCCACATCGGTCCTCTTTGAGATCCTGAAGGCGGTGTCCTGCTCGAAAGATGTATCGCAAGAGCGCTGTGCTCTGCTGAAAGAGCAGTTCATCAGGCTCTCAAAGTATAAGCAGCTTAAGACCTTAGAGGACTACCAGGATCTGGACAAGCACATAGAGCAGGAGCTTCAACAAGAGGGAATACTAGAGGCAGGAAGACTCTTCTACCTCTCAGTACCAGCCTTTGCATATGCAGATATTGCTGATAAGATCAATAGTAGTTGCAGGCCAACCAGCAGGGCCTGGCTGAGGGTGGTGCTAGAAAAACCTTTCGGACATGACTACAGGAGTGCTCAGGTACTTGCAACTCAGCTCGGGAGCTCCTTGAAAGATGAAGAAATGTACAGAATTGACCATTACCTGGGAAAGCAGGTTAGAAAATACCATGTGGAATGTTCCATTAACCCGTGACTCTGCGATTCAGATGTTTGATTTCATGGTTGTTTTTTTATGAAAAGGTGGTTGCAAAGATACTTCCATTCAGAAAAGAGAACAACAAGTTTCTGGATCCCATCTGGAACAAGCACCACATCGAGAGAGTGGAAATTGTATTGAAAGAGACCCTGAATGTTAAAGGTGGTTTAAAAATGGCATCAATACTGTAGTAATTAACTCTTTTGAGACATTAAAAAGTAGCAAGAATTCCTGAGATACTATCATGTGTTCATGTCCTCCCTTGTTGTTTTGTCCTCAAGGTCGTATTCCCTTCTATGACCAATACGGGGTGGTCAGAGATGTGCTACAGAACCACCTGACTGAGGTCATGACCCTGTTGACTGCGAGGCTTCCCATGAATCTGAGCAGCAGTGAGGAAGTCCTCCGAAACAAGTTGCAGATCTTCCGCTCCCTGTTGCCTCTAGGGAAAAATCAAGCTGTGATTGGCCAGTATCAAACATACAAAACAGAGGTTCAGCAGGAGCTGAATAAGACAAAAGATCACGTCAGTGTCACACCAACATTTGCGGGTGAGGACTGATAGCCTTTCTTTTTTAATTATTATGATTGAATGTATTCTTTACTGTTGTAAAAAAAAAAACAACCTGCTATACAACTAATAAAGTTTTGTGATCCTGTTTGTGTATTTCAGCTGTATTGGCATACATCGATGAGGCCCAGTACGAAGGTGTGCCAATTCTATTGATCTCAGGGAAGATGTTAGATGAACGTGTGGGATATGCTCGCATACTTTTCAAGAATGACATGTTTTGCCTTCAGAACCACAACAGCATTCACTGCAAGCCCAAACAGATTGTTTTCCACTTTGGGCATGGCAGCCTTCAATATCCAGCTGTTCTCGTTAGTAAGAATTTATTCAAGCCAGTTTTAATGGACAGCGAGTGGAAGGAAGTGACAGAGCATACAGATGTCAATGTTCTGGGTTTGCATATTTCAGACTACTATGTGCAAACTCCGACAGAGCCGAGGGAAGCCTATTCAGAACTTATTTCTCACATTTTTGCTGGACGCAAGAATAGTTTCATTAGTACTGAAAATCTGCTGGCTTCCTGGGGCCTATGGACACCACTACTCAATAGCCTCGCCAGCTCTTTTCCCCGCATCTACCCAGGAGGTTCCGACAATGGAGACCTGCTGGACGTCCGTGTGAGAGGGAAAGACATCAGCTACAACAGTGAGGTGGTGATAATCAGCAATGACCAGATGGGTGGCGCGTCTGCAAAAGATTTCCAAGTGATGCAAGGCAAATTTCGTAGTGCTGATATGGTGTCTGCCTGGGCAGAGGAGCTAGTGGAGAGGCTTGCTGCAGACATGCAGGAAGCAGCAGAGGCAGCAGTGCGCGAGGGTGGCGTTTTCCATCTTGCCCTCTCTGGCGGCTCCACTCCCCTCGCTCTGTTCCATCGGTTAGCCCTGCACCACTTCTCCTTCCCCTGGAAGGAGACCCATGTGTGGATGGTGGATGAGCGCTGCGTGCCTCTGACTGAGCTGGAGTCTAACTTCCGCAGTCTGCATGACCATCTACTGCAACATGTGAGGATACCCTATTACAACATCCACCCCATGCCCGTGCAGCTCAACCAGCGTCTGTGTGTGGAGGAGGACGGAGGAGCGCTGCTTTATGAGCAAGAGGTCAGCAAGCTGGTTAATGGCTCCAGCTTCCACTTTGTACTGCTGGGAGTCGGCTACGACGCCCACACAGCCTCCCTGTTCCCTGGTAGCAAAGTGGATGAACTTGGGGAGAGTCTGGTGGCCCTCACTGAGAGCCCCATCAAGCCTCACCAGCGGATGAGCCTCACTTTCAGTGCCATTAACAGAGCCCACAGGGTTGCTCTTTTAGTTATGGGCAAAGGGAAGCATGAGCTGATCACCCAGCTGAGCCGAGTGAAGGACAACCCAGACAAATGGCCTGTCACCGGGGTGAAGCCTGCTAATGGCAGACTTGTTTGGTATATAGATTATGATGCACTTTTAGGATAGGAATTACATTCCCAACTTTTAGTTAGACAGAGCTGATTTAATTAAACAGCTGGTTGGTGGAAGTGAATGTATGAGCCAGCAAATACAAAGGGCAATTTTGGTATTTTTAACCTTGGGCCCAATTTTCACATATTTCAGTGTCAAAATGACTATTGGGTACAAAACGTTGTGTGCAGTAGATGTCTTCAGCCGTCAGATGCAATCTGGATCTGTCAAAATTACGTCCACAAATAGGGGTGCTGCTTTTTGCCACCGACAAGCTCGGACTGTTATATGATGTGTCGAACAACATCATGGAAAGGATCCCTAAGAGTGACTCCCAGTGACATCCTTTGTTTTTAACACAAAATTGAAGTTTCACTCAAGGACAGTTCTCACTCTGAAATCTTGTGAGGAGCGAGTTGTTGCAGGAAGACGACGGTGGAAAGATGAGACACAGTTTGAGAGAGGAGTTTGTTGCTTTGTAGTAACGTTAGGATATAGTCTTGCTAGCAGCTCCTCTATGTACAGTACACAACAAACTCCTCTAACTCGTTTCCATCTGCGTTGCAACAACTCGCCTTTTACGAAATTTCAGAGCAAGATTCCAAAACATTTTGTACCTACTAGTTATTTCAACCAAAATATGTAAAAATAGGGCCCAGGTTCAAAAATACCAAAATTATCCTTTAAAGAACTAGTGGTATTACATGTTTTAGCTTATTAAAAACGAATCACACGTACTGAACAATTATACTTTTTTTTTTTTTACTTTGATCAAAATAAGAAATCCATTACAGATATCATAGCAGTGCAAAAAATTTACAGAAAGCTGTTTTAAAAAAAAGTCCCGTGTTGGTGGATTCACATGCACATGGGAAAACATACAATTGACACTGGGAAAAATACATTGTGAAGTTCATAGTGTCTTACATTAAAAGGACTGCTGTTCAGCTGCTTGAATGGTGTGGTGTTGGAGTTTTCCATCACATGAATGCACCAGCAAGAAAGAGTTGCAGCTAAATTGCAATTTAGCAATAACATAACTTGGTAAAAGTTGGTATTTTTGCCCCATGTTTTTGTGTCTATGTGACTAATTGGAACATTGTCTGAAATTGGTCCAGTAGTGAACGAGCACACTGCAAATAGGCAACAGTGAAACAGGGCTTCACTGGGCAATGGCGCCCCGACAGGCTCAGATTGTTATTGTAGTGTCTGACAAGATTATAGCATGGACTCCTATGGAGATATACCTTTTTGTTTAATCAGAAACAGTCGCTATATTGGTGTCATCAAAGACACCAGACTCCCTTCACAAAAAACATAATTTTACCTCTCTGATCCACCGCTGCCTCGATCAGTTAATTACTTTGTGTTATTGTGTGACTTTGGTGTTTATAATATCCCTTTAGAACACGAAGTCACAAATTAACACAAACAAAAACAACAAAGTCAAACAATAACACAAACAAACTCACTGACCAAGGCAGCAGTAGACCAGTAACTCCCATGTTCTTTGTGGTAAAATTACTGTTTTTGTGAAGGGAGAGTGGCATAATGACTGTTAGTAGTTTTTTTTTTTTTCTTACTCTTAAAAAAGTTCTATCACTGTAGATCCGTTTGACACTGTTGCTAGACACCTCTAATAACAATCTGAGCCTATCAGTGGCAAAAACAAGCACTTGCGTGGGCGTACTTTGATGGTGCGCAATAGCCCGAAAGGATTATGTTGCAGCCCTGTTTTGCCTCTGCCAACTACAGCACACTCGCTCAACACTGGACCAATTTCCAAGTTGAAAACTTTGCCTTTAAAAGCTAGGCTTCAGTCAAAAGCTTTGTTGGAGGAATGTAAAGTACTGAGATTTGTAGTTAATGGGTTAAAAATTGCTGGTACAGTCCTTTTTTATTTAAAACTGCAATCAAATCTTTTTCTGTGTGCGAGTGTGTAGAGAGTGAAATGATTATTCAGATTTTTCTAATTATGTGTGAGAGGAGTGACAGAGTATGTAGCTCTATATGAAAATCTGATGTTGTAAACATCTGGAGCCGAAAGCCAATTCCCACAAACACAAAGATTTATGTACTTATAACCCAGGGTGTTTGTATGATCTCAGGTGAATTTGTGAATCTAATCTACACTTCTTGATTGTATGTTTTCTTTTGTTGAGTGGCAGTGACCCACTTAAACTTTCATCAGTGAGTAAAAAAAAAAGAGACTGAAATGTGACTGTTCCCATAAATAATATATTTTGTTTGTATGTTAATAATAGAAATACGACCATTTTGTTCTTGAAATGTTTCAGGTAATTCAAAACATTTGGTGCTTCACTAATAAAAAAGCACATTCCTCACCCGTAGACATCCACATTCCACTTTGAAAATTGAATACCGGTGATCTGAAGCAGCATTTTATAGATGAAGTCCAAACAAGAACACCTTCATTTCAACTTTAGGTTGATTTGCTGTTTTTCCCAGTTCCTGTTTTTGTAAATCATGAAGATGACGGGGATTACTTATGTTTTGGAAGACCATCTGCACTTTTTTTAATAATACAACCTGGATATCCTATAGCTTCATCAATATAAACCATTTCCTTTATATTTTCCTGCTACAATCTGTTTAATGCAGCTTTGCTTTTCCAATTAGATAAATATCACTTTCAGTACTGTATACAGATTCCACATTTATATTTGTATAATTCCACACCGAATCTACTGTGTAAAGTATATTTTTATTAACAAATGTAGCAAATGTAAATCATCAACAAATAAAAAATCAAATAGCTTTAACAGTCGAGACAAACGCCTGCTTTGTGACATTTTCCTGAAGTGAGCTTTAAAACGTGAGGAGGATTAAGTCCCTTTCCCCCCTTTTTTTTTTTTTTATGTTCCCATGGTTTTAAGTTACGAGCGGTTGGTGGCATGGAAACCACATGAAATCTTAATATGTGGAGTATCAGATGTCAACGTGGGACAGCTGGACTGCTTTCGGTCACAGGCAGCCTGTTGGTCAACCACAGTCCTCCTCTCACAGCGAAAAACCCTGAACAGACACAAGCAGGTTTTATTCCTTTGAACTGAAAATCCTGTGTATGAATGGTCCCATACATTGTGTGTACATTTGTTCTAAGTGTACTCCACCTGTACTGAAAATAGAAAGGGCCGTTAGAATGAGGGACATGTAGTACAGCTCGGGGGTGGTTTTAGCCTGCGAATATACAAACAAATATTTTTTTAATGCTGCAGTTTCTCAATAGATTAGAAAATATCTCTTTTTCTCTTACACATGCTGCTGCTGTCAGAGTCAAGATGGCAGTGCATAGTCCGTGTCCACATGTCAGCAGCCCAAACACATGATAGGAAGCCCACAAACTCTGAGGAACTGGGTATATCAATGTGAATATCACTGAAAAACCTGTTAAAAGAGTTGAGGTTAATCTTTTTGGTTTGCTTGTGGTCGGAAACTTCAGTCATGCCATTTGTGCTGTGTCTTACTGGTGACGTGAAATACTGTCCATGTATTTGTCCTTGAAATGTGCCTAATGTTGAAGGGATTTACCTGAAGCTACGAAGGAAAAGGCAATGGAGGCTGAAAGGTTGTTCAGAAGAGGCTGCCTGCAGTATCTTGAGGATTTTGGCCTTTTATACAAAACAGACATCACCACATTCAGTGCCACGTTCACTCTTGTACAAATGAACCATGAGCTCTCTGCCATCAACTGTGTCCCAGTTACCTTCCCATGACGTAAAACTGAGGGACCAGAACAAGTGCCGTGAACACTGCATTCACTATCTGACTACAAATAGAACATGAATAAAACTTGAATTAATATACAGGGGGGGTTCTGTAAAATCAAAACAGAAACATGCCTTTTTTTATATATAACTTACAATTTTAATCTCTGATTCCTCGGTATCCATCTGCTGCCATGATACGCCATGAAGATTAGCATGTAGAGAAACATGGATGTTGCACATTCAGACAGACGTCCACCGTAACACTGTTCCTGATCGCACAGCTGAAGAAGTGCCAGCAGCTCCACATGTGAGCAGGAGGAAGGATTGTCTTTCATGCTGCACATGCACAGAGACTTCTGTATTCCCTGAAAGCCCAACAACATGAGCATACATTTTATCTTGAGAATTAGGTTGTTATGTTTTTCGGGGTGAAACCTGAACAGAACAGTATTAAAGATGCAGTATTCTCATAAGCTTTAAGATCACCCTGTGTAGAGGCTTACCTCATAACAGGAACAGAGTAATTTCCTCACAATATGTGTAAAAAATCCTGTTCTGCCCAGTGCGCCTCCTTCTTATTGTGTCCGAAATAGCCGGCAGCTTATCACCCCTGCCCCATATTGACACACAATGAAACATCCCACCCATTAACTTTAAATTCGTTCACTCGTGATACTCGTGCTCTTTAGTCTTCCAGAGAGTCAAACAAACAACCAAAATGCCAGTGGACTACAGCGGGACATGGGACATTGACAGCAATGTCAATTTTGAGGGATACATGGTTGCACTTGGTAAGTGTCACTGGTTCTTTTTAGATGATTTGTGAAACTACACACTGACATTTGAGAACCTTCAATTAGGATATGATGGGGAATCCTTATGTATAGTTAACTGAGTAGTTTGTGGTGAATATAAATTTTTTCTCAGCATCATTTATGTAAATTAAATGGGAAATTACTTTATCATCAGTGTGCATTTTTGTTTGTCAATGACCTGGTGAGTGTTATATGTTATGTGAAAGTTAATTTGTTTTCTCATCAGATCATGATGGACGTGGCAGCAGACTAAAATTCAAATGAATAAAGGAAGTGAGATCCTGTTTTTTAACAAATTCCTTTCACTTTAACACACAGGCATTGATTTTGCAACACGCAAGATTGCCTCCATGTTGAAGCCCCAGAAAGTGATTAAGCAAGATGGAGACTGTTTCACAATCAAGACTTTCACTACTTTCAGAAATTATGAGTGTTCATTCAGAATTGGAGAAGCGTTCAAAGAGGTGACTAAAGGAATGGACAACAGGTCATGCCAGGTAAAAACGTTAGTAAAATGTAATGTTGTAGTCACAAAGCTGCACGCAAATCCTTTGTAAAGCCTTTGTTATACAGATTCATACTCCAAACATTTCTCTGTGGCTGTGCTGATGTCACAAACCATTCTTATATGTAGATTGCTATATGTGATTTTTATTTTTGTTCTTTATCAGACTGTGGTCAACTGGGAAAATGATAAGCTGGTGTGTGTTCAGAAAGGAGAGAAGAAGAACCGAGGGTGGACTCACTGGATTCAGGGAGACGAGCTTCATCTGGTATACTGTGGTTTTTATTCTGGTGGCCTCTTACAGTTGTGATCAGCAACTCCTGATTTTTCTTTATGTATATATGATTTCTAGGATTTTGTGGACTCATAGAGTCACATCAATTTTAGGCTTAATATTTAGTTTTTTACTAATGTGTGGTGGGCAGTTTTACACCTTCATGTTTTCTCTCTTCAGGAGCTTACTTGTGAGGATCAAGTCTGCAAGCAAATTTACAAAAGGAGTCTGTGAACTTTAAAACCATTTCAGACTTAAGAGAACTTCCTTTACATTAAATTAAACGAGTTAGCATAATCTACATGATAACTTCTATACATAATTTGAATGTAATGTGTGTGATTACGTGTTTAAACATTGTAGTACCTCCTCCGGACCACACGATGATGCTATGAAAGGTGTATATTAAAAAAAAGGAATTCAACTCAAGAGTTGTTGGTTTGTTGGTAAATGTGTGCCGCGAGTTTTTTTCTCTCAGCTAACAATTAGCTTCCAGCAAACAACCTGAAATATGTGTTCACGTCTGTTTTTTGTCTTTCATGCTTTAATTTTGTAAGAATGTTCCCAACTTCGTGACTTAATTGCAGCCGTGGTTAGTCAAATTTTTCTGCACAAGAAAATGTCTGTTGATAAAGACGAGACACAACAGGTGAGAACTTTATTTTAACGTGTGTGACAGTCAGATTTAACTTAATATTAACATTAGCTAGCTATCTAGCTAGTTATAGCTACATTACAGTTGGCTACGGTTACAGTATACAGTAACGTTATGTGGGTTTAACCAGTTAACGTTATGTGAGAAAGGGTACAAGTAGTCAGGGTAAGGGCTCACATACAATCATTTTTTTAACAGATAACCTAAAATTATACTAAAACACAAACAATTTCATAAATTACTAAGAACAGGTGTGCAAAGCTGCATTAAAAAGTGGTGTCAGTCTATTTGGCCTTGTTTAAAATGGATATTGCAGTGGGAATGAGAGTGTTTTGGCGAGGTGCTCTGAATAGTTGATTTATCTAAAGAAGTAGGAGGAATTTCTTGACCCATAAGGGAACTTTAGTGAATCGTCACTAAAATTAAAGATGCGTGGATTTCACTATAAAAAAGCTGTCAGACAACTGTAGTGGAGTAAAAAGTACACTGCCCTCTGAAATGTAGTGATATGCATAAAAAAAGGAAATACTCAAGTATAAGTACCTAATTTACTTGAATAAATGTACATGGCTACATTCCACCACTGGTTTTAATGTTTGGGACATGGCCAGATAGGTAAAAAGCATTACATTATCATCCCTATGGTGAAGTATGAAGCCCCATGTTGATTCCTTTTTAATTTTAATTAGTTAATGTTGTGAATTTCAGAGGTTAAAGGCCGCAGTCCATTATACTGTGGGTCGCCTATGTCAGAAGATCGGAGGGGACCACCGGAGGGAGTTCAGTCGACAAGTCATAGCAGCAATAGCCGAGACAACTTTCAGACAATGTGGTACGTGTCAACAAGGATAATACAAGTTCAGCCTACAACATCAGAGACATACAGTACATCAGAAATACATTAAAAACTCATTAAAAAGACATTCTGTTTTCAAGTGTACAACGAACTTAATCTCATCTACATCTAGTTTACTGTTGGATAGATATGCTATATTTATCCAGCAAAAAAAACTTTGTTCAATGTTATCTGTTTGAAAAAGCTTTAGGAATGTAAAATCTCTATTAGTGTAACATACTGAAAGATTGTACATGATTAGTGTTTTTACAACCTACCAGCAAATCCAGTCACTTTAATCAGCGGAGCTACCAGTTTATTGGGTGAATTTGTATGTTAATTTGTTCAATATCAGCTCTGAGTAAAGTAATATCTTGTAACGCTAATATAGCTTTGTTGTTACATTGTCTATGAAGATTCTCAGTCATCCAGGTTATAGTTATCCAACAAAGGTTAAAGTCAAGGGCAACTAGACTTGGTTGAAGATTGGTTGTTGTTCTATTGAATTTAATTATCTTGTAATGTTTTCAAGGTTTTAAAAGTTAAATACTGAGTTCATTTTTTCCAGAATGTCCACAATGCCCTCATGCAACGAAAATACTTTATAAATTACTGAGCATCAACTCTTTCTATCATTACTCTAACACATGTTGTCCAGCAAAAAGACTACTAAGACATCTTGATGCTCTTGGGGTTTAAGACACCAACTATGGAATCACAGCAGGCCTGAAATGTCATACTTATATAGGCCTATATGTCAGAAATAAACCAGAAATCCTCAAGTATGCCTCAGTGTTTTATTTTTAACTTTTTGTTTTTGGAGAGTAATTCCACAATTCACAATTCAGGTTATCCCAGGAATGTCATATAAAAAGTATGCACATGTATGGAATAGCTACTACTGTAGTTTACAGTAAATATACACAGAACTCGTCTGCTGCATTTTTGCCACAATTTACTCTTCCCTTCACAACTTGTCCTCTCATGGCAAAATAATCTATTGGCATATAGATTGCTCTTTTTTAAATAGATCATATGAAATTTAAAAGCTAAATCACTTAGATCTTCCGTCTTTTTATATATTTGAAAAAACATGATAAATTGTAGATGCAAAATATAGCAAATTTGTTTCATAAAGAAATTGTATGTAAAATCCTTGGTGTTTGAGTGGGGGAAAAAACAATGCATTTTAAAAGACTGATTTTATTTTGTGTCCAAACGATAAACAGTTGCTGCTGTTGTGTTGCGTGTGACCCCTTGTGTATGTAAGCAGGTGGGAAAAATAATAACAATGTTCAATACAATGCCATTGATAATTAACACATGGTCATCTAAACTCAACATCCCACTGTTGCCTCTCACCTTTTCCAGATACATTTGCTAAAGACCTGGAGGCCTTTGCAAGGTGAGAATCTTTGTTTTTGTAACCACATTTACAGATGACTTAGTCCTGTTTTTTAATGTAGCCAAAACATCAGGTGTAAGGTCTTTTTCGTTCGCCTTAGTCAAACCTAGTATGACTAGTATAATCTCAACTTTTCATAGTACATCTAATTCCCAATTTAATTTCAGGCATGCTAAAAGAAGCACGGTGACTGCAGAAGATGTAAAGCTCGTAGCCCGTCGCAGTACTGCATTGGTGAGTTATTTCAACTGTACTGTCAGAAAGCTCTCGGTGATGTACGCCATGTTTAGCAATTTGAGCCAACAAGTCAAAATCAAACATGTAGTTATGCCAAGTCAGTGTAGGCTACTCAAATCCATTTCCTCCTAATAAAGCAGTACACTGGAACTGTATGTGAGTGTGTATATATTCTACAGCAGACAGCAACATGTTTAATTTGCCTTTATTTCAGTCCATCTACATACAAAATAAAAGTGAAGAACTGAACCAGGAGCAGAGGGATTTGAAAAAGAAAAATACTGGGAAGAGGAAAAGCAGAGAGACTGAGGAGGAAAGCAGAGAATAAGGACAAGACACAGGCAGACCTGCAGTGTCTCACTTGTGCCCAACATTCAAATAAACATTAAAGCTGACTAATACAAGGTGTCGTTGCCATTTTGTTAAGGGAATTATGCATGAATTCTACAGCATACAGTAGTTTCAGCCTAACTACTTCTATCCTGGGACCTGCTGAGGAAATGTCAAAGTATAGTGCATTTGGCACTTGTTTGCCATACAACAAACATGATCATGAATGAACTGATTGTAATGTTTTTTTGGTTTTTTTTAAAGCACTGTCAAAAGTGACACTGACTACAAAAACTCTGAAGCTGACTGAGAAATCCTATTTGAGCAGTTTAGACTGCTAAATTACATCCCTGCTATGTTTCAAAATATTAAGATTATCCAAAAATGTGTTTACACTACAAATGTACTGTTAAGACTGTCAGGCAAACTACCCATAACATACACTCAATTACCACTTTATTAAGTACCCCTGTGCAATCTAACGCAATCCAATACATCTGAATTTAACTGTACTTAAATGATACCTATAAAAAAAAAAAAGATGTTTCAGCATGGAGGCCATGGGTAGCGGTGGTGTTATACTAAAGTGTATTTTCCAGTGTTTATTCTTCTGCTCCCACTCGTATGTAAATAAGACTAACATTACTTTATACCCTAGTTCAGTAGACCACCTATGACTGCAGTATTAAAATACAATGGAATCTACACATCTCTTACAACCAATGATAAACTTAATTTATGGCTTTGTGCTATTGAATTGCAATACATTGTACAAGTGTACCTAACGAAGTGGCCACTGAGTGTGTAAAGCCACGTAAAAAAAAATCCCCTCAGCAATGTGTCATTCGTTGTCATTACATTAGCCAAATTAGGGCCAATAAATAATGTTTGTTTTACCACATTGCTTATCTGTTCATGGTTAAAGTATGACCCACTAAATACGTCCCTCTAACCTTAAAAGTAGCTGTGAATACTCAAAGGGATAATTCACTCTGACAAGCCATCAAAAGCAGCAAAAAGACAGGTACTACCCCATGTCATGTCTGAGAAGGCCACACACTGAAAGTGTTGGTACTTCCGTCTTCGTCCTTCAGAACACACTTCAGTCAGGGTTCAAACGGAGACCTCGACCAGCAGAGCCCAAGGTCCCTAGATATGTGAATCGAATTAGATGTTTTTTTATTTGACTCAAGTAATATGAACTAAGCATCTATTCAAATGAACTTTATTAGACAACTCCCTTCATTTGACATGTTTTTAAACACCTCACAAACAACAAGAGCTACTGGGAACCATTGGACACACCACTCCACGTTCTCACACTATCACTCGCGTCCCCCAGAGTCTTCAGCAGGTGTCATCCACATCAAGTACACACTTACAGATCAGTTCAATAAACATGAAAGCACACACCATACAGCATTCAAATCAGATAATATAAGCAATACAAATATTCATCACAACATTCCACTACATTTTGATATTTCTGCACTTGATCGACATACTTAAGAGTAAGGAAAAATTGCAAAGATTAAAAAAAAAAAAAAATCTTGAAGTACTAATTAACGAATGTCCATGTTAGGGGAGGCGCTCGTAGCATCTGCAGCTTCCACTCACACACTCAAAAAGCAGTCAAATTGGGCCCTTTCACCGCACAACCAGTCCGTTTCACGCGTCTCTCCGTTCGCTCACTCATCGCTTCACTCTTCGCCACAAGCCATCCTCAATCGCACTCATCAGTTCTTAAAATGTCAGTTGCGCAGTTCTTTCCATTTAAAAGTGGATAAAAGTGAAAACACCCACCGTCTCTTAGAACATGCGGAGTGAAGCCGTTCTGTGATGGCATAGCATTTACAGGTGGGAAGAGGGAGAATGATACCGATATCACCCCAAGAATGCTGCCAAATAGGAGCTTCCTCACAGGAAAATGGAAGAGAGGTGAACTGCAGAAGAGATTTCAATGAAGGCTTTTCCACAGAACTTGACTGCAAATAAAGTTGCACTTAAAACATTTAGGTTTCAACCAGATTCTTCCCAATGCAAGATTGCCTTTTTAGGTCGATGACAAAGCCGGATAATGGTGAACCACAAACATTCATGCATTTTTTAAAAAATGGTTATATCACATTTCACAATACATGCATTAGAGAATCCAGTTGAAATGGATACAAACAAATGAGACATCAAAAATAGCACTTTAGTCAGACATCCTGGTAAACAACTCACTTCAACACTTTCTAAATTAAATCTTTAGCTTGTTTTCCAAATGTACAAAACATCTTCCACAAAAGTGTTAAATCTTCTGATACGCATCAACACCAGAAATAAATTTTGAAAAGACTCATCTTTGTCACAATACTTACCATACAAACATTTAACTTACATACCCCACCCAGATGACTTTGACTCCATACTGGACCCAAAACCTGAGCTAAACCCACTACCACTTGTTGTAGAGTTTGACCCTGTTCCCCAGCCAAGACTGGCTGAGCTGGTGCCGTAGTTGCTGTTGCCTGTACTGAAAGACTGACTCTGGTCCCTACTAGAGCTTGTTCCGCTGGAAGTACTTCCTGAAGTGGATGTCTGCTGCTGGCTAGCCAGCATGCCCATCATTCCCCAACTACTCTGCAGAGCAGCCTGAGCAGCAGCCATCATAGCAGGGTTCAGACTGAAGGAACCAAAATTCGCCAGACTGCTGTTAGTGCTGCTCCCTAACCCACTACGGCTGCTACCAAATGCTTGAGCTCCAAAGCCATTCCCAAACCGCGTGGTGCGATCAAACTGCCTATTGCCATGTTTGGGCTCAGCATTTGAGATGTGAACACTGATGCCTTTGATTATTAGATCCTCTCCACAGAGAGACTGGGCAACCTGTGAGGGGTAAAAGACACAAATCAGGTCATCTGGGCATTGGTACCTCTACAGCAGGAAGTACTTACTACACATTTAACATTATACCTGGTCATCTGCGAATGTGACAAAGGCAAAAGCACGGAATGGCTTGGGGATGAAGACATCTGTGACTTCTCCATACTGCATGAAGAACTGCCGTAGGTCATCTGTGGTCATGTCTTCTGTGCAACGGCCTACAAACACTTTTCTGCTCCTCAATGGCTCATCTGGACCTTGCTGTAAACAAAAATGTAGAAGGAAATTAACACTACAGGTTATAGTTATAGGAACAATGTTATTATGGTTTTCATTCCCATAATGTGTGGGTATATGCATTGACATTACCATATTCACCTTCGAGTTAGGGAGCTTGCAGTCACACCATCTCCCGTCAATCATATGCCGCTGGGAGATCACCTTTTCTTGAGCCTCATACTCTGTGAATCTCACAAAGCCAAATCCTTTAGAGTTTCCCGTCTTGGCATCTCGTTTTACCTACGAGAAAGAGAAGAAAAAAATAATAATAAAACATCCAGCAATGATGATCAATTGTTGCCACATACAAACCAGAGCAATATGCATTTTTAGGTTACTAATGTTATACCTGAACCATGATGACTTCTCCAAATGTGCTAAAGTAATCTTTCAGGTCCTGCTCTGTTGTTTTCCACGGAAGACCCAGTACGATCAGGTCAGATGTCTTCATGTCTCCTCGCTTCATTTTCACCGCAGACGACGCATCAATTTCCTCCATTTTCCTTTTGTTGTCTAAAATGAGATCAAAACAGAGAGAAATTAATTGTATTTTAACCTTAGACAGCCACGAGGTGCGACTTTTCCTTACCATCACTATGACTTTGTAAATGTCTATTACCAATTACTGACCACAGAATGCAATTCACTTCTAATACATTTTAGATGTGAACATGTGCCACATTCTTTTCTCAACTGTCACACACGTGCATAATCTTAACTACTGCTACAAATAGAATGATTTAAAACTTAGTAGCAGATGGGTTTAAACATGCATGTCTTTGATATTACTACAGGTTATTAATTATGCAGTTGTTTGGACCTACAGTTGCTCACAGCTGATTAGGTCCACCTACCTTAGCCTAATATACTCTATAAAAACATCTCTACACATTTCTTTGTAACCTTTTTAAGGTGTAAATTCAACTTCAGTCATTGTAGAATCTGTAGCATGGCATTACATCCACAGGTGTTTTCTATTCAATACACTACACCAACTAACCTATATGGGCCTAAATAAAGTGACAACTGTATATTCAAAAAGTTAGTCTTGTTGCCAATTTTGTGAATGGATTTAGTGCCTCAAAGCGCACTTTTGTGGGCTTGGACAAACTACGCATATTGTTACTCTCATCTATTTTCAGTCGGCCGATGTTAACGTTACATCATGCATTATAAATAACTAACATCTGGCCACTTTTTCGGATAACGTGTTATTTCAAAGATAAATTCATTAAAAGTGCTCATATTTACCTTTTGGATAGTTCACCACATACACGATATTTCCCCACCCAGTTTCTGGTGCGTGCAGGACCCCCTCCACAAGACGCACTCCTCGCATGCACTGAGACACGGGGCTCCTGAACCGTAGGCCACACGCCCCAGGAAACTGAGCTGCCACGGTGGAAAGCAGAACAGTGCCATCGTCTTCGGACGGGATCTCCATGGGTTCCTCGTTTTCCTCCTCTGCCACTCGAATGTATACTTCAGCCATCTTCCACAAAAGAAGAAAACTCTCCTGCTTCTGTAATGCTAAAGTTTGCAGTTAGCTCGCTAGCTGTCCACAATTACGGCTATCCCTAGCCGATGTTGCTAACGGGACTGAATGAGTCAGGCTAGTTGTGTTTGAGAAAAGACTTCAAGTCAAAAAACTGCAACAAAAAATGTGTTGGGGTGGGTTTAATTTTAAATCATATCATAAAGAATATTTCGTACGCAACCGAGCGTGCCTCGACCTTCCTGTTCCTTTGTTTGTAGATATCTGCGTCGTCAACACAGGACAACGACCGTTCAACTGTGCCGCTTAATGAAAACTGCGTATAGTCCCCCGCTAACTAATCTGACAAATCAAGTTCCTCAAAATGGCTTGTGCAGGCCGATTAGGTTATCCAACTTCACCAAGGCGCACGTATTGCCCCAACTGCAAAGTAAGAAATTCGGCATATAATGTTTTTTCCACGAGGCGCAAAAAGAAAGACCCTACCGAGGCCTACCAAAATGGCATTATCTAAGCGAAAAGGGAACTACGTCATGAGATCGGACGGGTCCATTTCATGGCGGATAATATTGCTACAGTTTGTAATTAATATTGGCAGTAATTTATTTATTCGTAAGTATAATGTTGTAAATTAAACACTACTATTATATTGTGTGTGCGTTTGTTTTTTGTATTGTATTGTTAATATCGTTTTCATATTGCTCCCCCCTGTAAGGGAGCATGGTAGGCCCAGTTTAATGCGTCCACTACAGCAGCTTCCGTATCCATGTGACAGAGATGGCAAGATGGCGGTTGGTATGGGATTTATAATCTTCAGCCCGTGATGCGAAATGTCAAAATATTTGATCAGAAAGATTTATCTTCAATTTAAAACGTTCTTATTTCTCTTGTACCATTAGATGGGCTTTTAATGACGGATGACCGCTGAATCACTTCGTGTTTCAGTCACAAGCTGCGTCAGACACATGTGAATGTAAACATGTATTGGTTAATTAGTTTTTTGGGGTTAGGGGATGAAAAGAATACATTTGATGTATCAAGAGGCCAAGTGTTACATCTTCAAACCTTGACCCGTTTTTTGGGGGGGAGTTGCCACGGGATTTTTTCTGTGATGTGTAGAGGAGACTGGCATTTGTTTGTTTCTAGACGTTTATATTAAACAGGTTGATAAAGAGGAGGTCATCAAATCAATTTAGTCTAAAAATCTGTAAACTTGTTCCAAAGCCATCCAACAATATTAAATGGTTGATCTACTTGTACACTTGCTTGAAAATAGAAATCCAAAATCCTGTAAGTATATGAAAGATAAAACGGGCAGTACAATACAGTTCAATTTAAATATTCCACCCACGAGCATGAGTTTTGATTTACCAAAATTTACAGCTTTGTGTAAACTAAAACTACAGTACTTTTAGTGCTGGTTTATCTAACAGTGACAGATACCTTGTAAAAGTATACTCTAGTAATAATAAAAGAGCTGCTGCGTGGCAAACGTAGAGAGCAACGCCAGCAACTTGTAATTCATTAACCCACAAAGTGGTGTAGCTTTCATTTGAACTAGGACTGAAATGAGCTGACCAAGTATTTTATGGTCTTAAACTATGTTCCATCCCAGAATCTTGACTAAACAAAGCTTAACTTTATAGCTACCATCAGCTTGTTGGTTTTTGCCTTAAAATGTGGCCTTCTGTTGCTTGCCTCACTTTAACAACAGTGAAAAGCTATCTCCACACAAATATTAATTCCAAAGCAGAGACAGTCACATTCACTTTCTGAATGACACATTAACACCATTAGAAAAACAAAACATCTCAATGCAGCTTTTGGATTCAACTCAACAAAAAGAGATCTCAAACAGCTTTTTATTACATTTTTCAATCAATAACAGTACAATTTAGTACAGTATCTATCTTGCATCCAGCTCACCGTGTAACACCAACAGACTGAAATGAAATACAAAAAGTGAAAAGGTACATAAGGGTGCAGAGCTCTATAATATTAATGGAAAGAGAAAGGGGAATCCATCTCAGTTGAATTGCATTTTCACTTGTGGCCACACACGAATACATCACATTTATTGTACATCATTGCAGAAAAAAAAAAGAAAAGTGAAAATATGTCACAACTTTAACAAAAGTGCTTCTGTATACAGTGAAATGTTATCATTCAGATGCTCCGATTTTCAATTTAAGACCAAGAAAAAAAAAAGAAATGTACAAAAGTTTTAGTATGGACAGTATGTGAGGACGTTTTTTTGTTCCATTGAGTGCTGAGATTTTGAAGGAGAGAAAAACTTGCCAAGGATAGAATTGTCACAATGATTGTTATAATTATTACAAAACTTGGCATCAATAGAACTGGTAAGCATAATTTACACCAACTATGCAGTCAATATTAAGTTGTTCTCCATTCTTGCTCACTCTGGTGCATAGCGTTACCAGTATTGGTACATGATGTATGTGGAGTTAGAGCCCATAAAATTGGCTTCTATTAAGATCAATCAATAGGGTTTACTCTCCTTTTCAGAAATAAAAACAAAAAATCTAGGAATTTGCACCATTGAAAGCAAGTCTACAGCATGCACATCTAAATTAACTCATGGCAGACAAAATTAATGTCTTAACTTAAAATATCAGACCATTATTTTCAGACATTGATTTGTACATTTCATTCACAGAGTTGCAACTGCAGTCCCAAGCAAAGGAAGTGTCTATTTAGTCAGGTGAGGTGTTTCACTCAAAGTGGATGCTAAACACAATCCCCCATCCATATAATAAAATCCAGCCATGCCCCAATTATCTCAGCACCTACCTTGCTACCCCACCCCTTCCCACCCAAAGTCAAAAGGCATGTACAAGAATTAAGGGGGTTAACTGTATAAGTTACTCGTAATAACTCCTTTTGTACTGGAATGAGCATTCATAACTTATAGCATGTGCTTGGTTAGTTAACATAGTATTAGTTGAGAGGCAAAGCTTCTTCATGTGCAAAAGGCTGTGATGAAACAAAAACAGCTAGTATATAAATACATCATGGACATTTTGAAAGCTGCTCGTGTAATATGATCCAAGCTTTTACTTGCATTACTTGCTGCATGTTTTCTCTCATCTGTCTTATATGATTTAACTGGATTAGAAAGACAAGCTTCAATTCAAACATATCTAAAAACCACTAAAGAAATATGACAAAAGGAAAGCCATCAAGAACAAACCATCAGAATAGAATTCTTAAAAAAAAAAAAAAAAAAGTTAAATAATTTGTACAATTACACTCCAACATTTGCTTTCAAGACGCACACATTTGCATGGGATGATAGTGTTTTCTCTTTCAAGGTAACATAAAAATGGTCCAAGAAGGAATGCACAAGTTTCTGATTTGATACCACAGGAGATCCTTTCTTAACTAGGTGATAAACAATTGTGCTCTTCTTTGTGTAGGAAAGGCATTGGTTTCCCTTCATTTTTTGTGGTGTCCAAGTCAGTTTAAACAGTGTTGAAGAAGATGCTGTGAACATTCTGAAGTTGTAATGGTCTTCCAGTCAACTTTGGAGTTAAAAGAACATCTGGGAAACAAAGACAAATTACATTTAGAATTTAACTAACCTGATCTACAATTTAGCTAATTTGAACCTATTGTCAAGTGTCATTTTAAGACCTAATTGGCAAAGATTTAACAAAAAGCTATCTAATCACAGAGACTGACATAAGAATGCAGCAAGCTGCTTATGTTCATTATATCTACAACCAGCTGTAGAGACAAGCTTACAGCTGTTTGGCCTTTTGGGGACCCCACCAAATCGAAGACATTAATTTATTCCAAGAATTCAGTGTAATTAAAAAAAAACGTCAATATGTTTAGAACCATATATGTACTTTTTTTTTTTTTTTTTTTACACATTTTTGGGGTGCCTGCCAAATAAGTGTCAATATGTTAAAGCCTTAGCCTAAAGCCAATTTTAAAAACACGGGGAATACATTTTTGCAGTGGAATATTTCTTTTTAAAGTTGGCAGCATATCACAACAGCAATTCCTTCTAAAGTACTGTTGTAAAGTTTGACATTAAAGTGGCTGAAGTGTCTATTAAAATGCACACAATTGGCCAGTGTAATAGATGCACCACCATCACCAGTTGGATTTATTTCTCCATACAGCACGTCTTGTAAGAAAAAAAACAAAAAAAAAAAACAAGCTGTAACAAATGCTAGACGCAGTTGCAGTTTACCTAGAGCTTAGTGAAAAAGAATGTTTTTCTGATCATGCAGGAGACTGCAAGGATCCATTCAAGCCAACAGGTGTCATGTGCACCCCAGCAAAAGACCACGAAACAGAAAGACATTTCATTGAACGCACAACTCTCTTAAACCTGTGAAGGGACAAAAGAAGCACAAGAGCACACCGGCTTCTACTCCAGCCAAGCAAAAGATGAGGCTTCAAAAAAAATATGCCACGACAGGTTTAGGACTAGGAACAGCCTAAGGTACAAATTTAAGAAAATGTAAAAAAAAAAAAAAAAAAAAGAAGACAAAGAAAAAAAACCTTCAGAACCTTTAGGCTTCAATTCCAGATCTTCAGAAAACTGTCCCAGGATCCTGTTGCAACTGCCATGCCATCATCAGTAACTCCCAGGCAGCTAACACGGTTGTCATGTCCAGCCAACACACCTAGAAAAGGACAACAATTTAGTCTACCGGAATAAAAGACAGCAAAAAGTACACTTCATTGCTTTGTATGTCTAATCATTGAGTATTTACCAAGAGTATTTTTGTAGCATGTAGGTAATAAGGCTGCTATCTGACTTACCAGCACGGTCAGCCTTTAGTGTGTCCCACACATTACAGTTGAAGTCATCATATCCCGCCAGAAGAAGACGGCCACTCTTTGAGAATGCAACAGAGGTGATGCCACATATAATATTGTCATGAGAGTAGATCATTAATTCCTGATCAGCACGCAGATCAAACAGCCTGCAGGTGGCGTCATCGGAGCCCGTGGCAAAGGCATTGCCATTAGGGAAGAACTAAAAATGACAAGAGAAATCATTAATGCACAACAGAGGAAATCACAAAAAAAAACTAATGAAATTTAATACAAATAAAATGCTAAAGCACATTTTTCAATAACTTACACAGATGGCATTGATGTCGGACTCATGGCCAGTAAATGTCTGTCTGCACATGCCCTCTCGGACGTCCCAGAGTTTAGCGGAGGCATCACAAGCACCAGAGACGAATAACCGTGCGTCAGGGGCCAATGACAGGCTCATGACATCACCTGTGTGTCCAGCAAATGTGGTTGTCTGCTGGCCAGTCTCAATGTCCCAAAGTGCACTATAAAATAAAATATACCATTAAGATACAGTTTGCATTGATAGTATAGCAACTCATTGTAGTCGATCCTTTTACTTACCAAGTGGTATCCCCAGAGCTTGTAACAATCTGGTTGTCATCAAGAAAACGACAACAGGACAGGTATCCTGATATTCAAAGAGTCAATTGAGGAGTTATTAGTATGAACGTCCATGTCAGATATATAACTAGCATATACTCAATTCCCATATTTGCAGAAATATGCACAATCAGAATCAAATAGAGTAAATAAGTCAACTCTTACATTTCAGAACCCTGTAGTTTTGGGAATTACATAGACTGATGTTAACTGATTTTTAAAGTACCATCTTAGTCAGACAGCTCTGCTGCCCGAGTAGTTCTGTATTTCTTAAGTACATTTTTCTGTGTGGCTTTATGCATTTGTTTTCCATGTCTAGGCTCCCAATCGAACCGTCCATCAGACAGCAAGCCTGATGTTAGACAGAAGTAAGCTAGCTTACAATATTAACTGTCCTGTCAAATACAGTAATGTTGCCAATTTTGTAACTGCCCACTGTTATTAATGCCCGTTTCATTGTAATTCTTATGATATGACATGAAAATGATAGTGGTACCTGTATGTCCAGCGAGCTCGCGGCTCACACGTACATTCCCCTCGCGTGTTTTCAGGTTGTAAATGGAGCAGATGTTGTCTAAGCCGCCACAGGCCACATAATTTCCTGAAGGTGCATATGCACAAGTCATGACCCAGGAGGATCGAAGTGGAATGGCGTGAACCTACAACAAAAGTTAGAAGACGCATACAAAAAAATATGTAATATGTATAAATTAAGCCTATTTTTGTCAAAGAAAATTAGAATTTATAGTAGCTACTTTAATAACTAAACAAAAGAGTGTGTCAAGAATTTTGAAGAAATTTGAAAAAGGCAATTCATTAGTAAATATGTAAGATGACTTTTGACACCCTATTTTAGCACTATGGAATTTCTTTAATACCAGGATGCCATTACATGCAACAATATCCATAGATTATTTGAACACCCACTGCTCTTGTGACTTCCAGGCCAGGTCACCAAGTGAAGTGCCCGTGACCCACAGTAACAGCAGCAAGTGAAATGAGAACAGAGCACAAACTGTACTGTTTAGACATTAGACAGCATCCTGTAAAATCAGTGGCACTCACAGACAGCTTGATGTTGTAGCTTAATTTCAACTGCAATCTTCTCAGCAGCTCTACAGATACATTGGAAGAATGACCCTTTAATCTTATAATTCCCTGTTGGATTTATTGCCTGCTGTATCAAGCTTAATGTAAAATGTTCTGTGTCACCACAAAAGCTTCAACTTGACAGCGCGTAATTCTCTATTTTGTCTGTAGGGGAGGGTCAAATTGCCTATTAGGCATGCAAAATATACACTTTTTCCACCAATCACACTAACTGCACACCTGCCCCAAAGGAAAGGCCACAAATGCCCCTCTCTCAGCTGATCCGCAACTCTTTTGAATTTATTCCAATAGAATGCATGCTGATTTAGTTTCCCCTCCTTCTAATTCTAGTATAACTACGCGAATAGGTGCATGCTGCAAAATATAATATAGCACCAGAAACCAGGCCCATATCATTCATCTATCTGCTTTGTCTGAAAGTGCCTCAAGTTTTAGAAATGCAGCAGCTATTATGACTTTATTTGCATGAAGATGGCACCACTGACATGCCTTAATCTGCAAGTCTAAACTGCTGCTGTGCCGTTACTTTGCTTTCCAATTAGATGACAGATCTGCATTGATTCAATCCTTACTTCATTAATACATGTCAAAAACACCGCTTACCTTATTTGTGGTATAGCTGTCCCAAATAATGAGTTTGCCATCTTGAGAGGCACTGACCAAGAGCCTACACAAATGAGAACAGCAATATAATCACACCACCAATTAGAGATGTCACACAAAATCTTTTTTTTCCCCCCATATAGAAAAATAAGCCAAAAACAGAGAGAAAAGAACTGCAGGAAAAAGATACGTGCCAAACTGCTGAAAGACAGTGTAATAATAAAATATCACCCGCATCAGTAACAACTCTTATGTTTAACCTTTGCACTGTACTCAACATTTTACATAAAGCAACTTAAACCAAATCTCCCTGTACACGGAAGTCAAAAATTCTGGCTTCTGGTTATGTTTACCTGGAATCTGTTCCCCAATGCATGGCATAGATTTTAGCCAAATGACCCCGTAGCGTTCGTCTTGTACGCATCTGGATTCGGCCCACGGGGTCAATGTTAGCTGTAATCTACAAAACATTAAGTACTCTGGTTAATTTCAGACCAAATTCTTTTCAACCCAAGAGAAACATCATAATGTTATATGTTACCTGTGAAAGTGTGGCATCTGCGCATGCTTTCCTGGCATCCTGAAAAGAAGAAAAACTCAAATATTTAAGACTGGACTTTTCCATCTCATAGCAATCTTTCTTGTACAGGGTAATTGGTGGTATGGTATAAAATGACTCACTCTGATCTGATTTTTGAGCTGCTCTGCCTCTTGGCGTAACTGGTCCAGTTCACTCATTTTATTCTGCTTTTTCAATTACCTTACTCCAGCTACCGGGGCACTTGTTGATCTAAAAAAGAATAAAAGAGAAGCACTTTAATCATTCACACAAATGTTCATTTTAAATTCAAGGTCATACAGTACAATCTCACTTCCCCACTGCAATGTCGCTAACATAATCCTGACACAATTTAGATTGCCAGTCAAATCCTGTTAAGGCATGACTTTCCAATGATCTGAGAAGCAGTCATTATCCTGTTGACCTCAATCCCTGGGATACTCAGAATTTTAGCCAAGTGATCAATAAGCCACTTATATTAATACAGGGCCTTGAGACACTCTCAAATTTCATCTAATAAAATACATTTTAAAAACTCATGTCATGATCAAAACAGCACACTAAATATAATAACCATATCTTGAACTACATCAAGTCTCATTTATTAAAGCAAATAAATTGCATTATTTCAAGTCATTTCAAGAGTTATGACCTGTCCTGTACCAGACGCAACTTAATTTACATGGACTGTGATATCAAATAAAAGTGTGTTAAGACGATGACTGGACCAAACAACACTCTATGGAAACCATATTTTTAGATTACTTTAACCAAATCAAAATGTAAAATCTTTTGTAAAAATAAGAAAATTGATCCAGTATTCTATTTGTCGATTTCTGCAGCAGACTGTTAAGACATATCCAACTGTTTGATGACGTGCAGTCCAAGTTAAAAGCAGTTTTTGAAAAGGTAGCACAATGCAACACCACGAAGGTAACATGACCGCAAGCAAATGTTGTCAACAGCTTAATTATTTTTTTATATATATATATATATATATATATATATATATATATATATATATATATATATATATATATATATATATATATATATATATATATATATATATATATATATATATATATATATACACTTATATACACACACACACACACACACACATACATACACACACACATTGTCTTATTTTGAAGTTAGGCTAGTAGTTGGTTTATTAGGTGAGAAATAGTCACCGATTGCTCACCAACAAAAGTTATTCTGGCAAATGGACACCCTTCTCAGATCCATCTAATTAAATTATTCAAGTGTGTCTAACAGAGGTACATTAGGAAACAAATCCATAATAATCTTAATGTGCGTATGTTTAAAATGGTGTACAGAATTGTTTTGTGGCACTCACACACAATTTCTGACTACACCCAGAAAACTAGCTAACAAACAAAAACTGAGTATGCTCACAATTTTGACCAAATGCAACATCAATTAGGATTTTCAACAGATTAAGCATTACAGTACCGTAAAACCACTGTTCAGTTAAGTTTTTAAAAATTACATCCAAAAGGCAACTTTCTAGAGATATTTTACATAAGATAACAACCCAGAAACCCCTTTCTTTAAATACATAGTAACTCTCATCACATATGAAACCATAGTCTGTGCATGCTGCTTTTATGAAGGACATATTGCCCACTTGTCTCTTGGAAAAAACAAATAACAGATATTTGCATAACACATGTAACCGCTCAAACTGCAACATTACAATGTTTAAGAAAAAAATATATTAGCACACGTGACAAATTACTAAACTAAACTCTGATTTAGATTTTACACAGATTGCAAATAGCAGTGCACCATTTAGTTTGACCAACCTTTCCTTCCCTCTTAGCTTCCCTGGTGTATATCAGTCAGTAGGCCTACGTCCCTGAGGTTTCAGGACAAGACTGAAAATCTTCTCTACCTGACTATGTTATCCTTTGTGTCCTCTGATCGGTTGACCTTTTTAAACACAGGTTATCCTCTTACACTCAATCTATAAATAAACGTATCATGGAATGTAATTATGCAGTATCCTCAAGTGATGGCAGAATATCATTCTCACCTTGAAATCTCTCTGAAATAATATTCCCAACTTCTTACATTGATACAATATTTAGCTCTGAGAAAATTACATTCAAGTTTATTCAGTTGTGCTGAATTGTATTTTCAGATAACAAAGTTTACCAATGCCCACAGTAGTAGTGAATGATTGATACTGTATATTTAATGTATTAACATTACAAAATTGTTCATTTGGTTTTAAGCACGTACGTGTGTGTGTGTGTTTAAATAAAAATTTCTTAGCAAAATCATCCTACCTAAATCTAACTCTGAGGTCATTATTTAGCTTTCAGTTCTGATGATGAAATTACAGGCTATTGTGTTAAACCTGACAGGTTTATGTCACTACTAAATGGTGAACTTGAATAGCTCTTCAGTGATGTATTAAATTCATAAACACTTTAACCAAACAATTACAAGATGTAATTAATTTTCATACTTCACTGTTTTTATACCAAACCCTAAAACTACAACTGTAAATCCAAAAGTAAGAAAGCCTGGAGTCAATTTATACATCTGACTTTTAAATACTCCACCTTCAAAAAGTATTAATAATCATTTCCCATTGATCTCTGTAGATGCTTGCAGTTAAGGAGTTCCTCTCCCTCATCACTTCTCCTTTCCAAGCGCCTGATCACAGTCAGCTGACTGCATGATAAACAATGAGCAGTGGCAAACAGCCTGGAGTTGTAGCTCACTAGCTGTTCTCAGGTCCCTTAAGGCCAGTCTGTGCTTGCTATTTTCAAAAAGGTGTCTCCTACATTTCCAGTTAAAATATTAAATGTATCGCTCTCTGCAGTAGTATACATCTGTTCTCAAAGGACAAGTCAGCTTATCTGTACTGTTAAACGATGATAATGCAATGTTTCACAGGTCTAAAGCTGGATCATGGAAAAGGCCATAACCAGCAATATCACTGAGCAACTACATAATCCTAAAAGCTAAAACCTTCAGTCAATGGGTCTCTAATCCTATCCATGTCCACTAACATAAACAGCTGGCAAAGCCAGCCCAGGCATTAGAAATATGTTTTCCCAATCATAAAAAGGATGAGTTTAATCTTAATTCTTTTACACAAAACATGCTTAAAGTAAGTGCCTGGATTTTCATGCTACCAGGGTAATCACAAGCCTATTATTACAGTCCCTCTCTTCCAGCTGTCCTGCGTGATCAGATACTGTACAATTACTACACTAATAAATTAGGATGTACAAAGCAACAGACCTGTATATTTTCTAACTGATGTCTGTGCACAGGTTTAACCAAGACTGAATGTAGTGAACTGATAGTTGACTTAGTCACTGTGTGCAGTACTGTGATTTGCCTACAACAGTAGAATAGTTTGCATTGTATTTGAATGGCTACTGGAAAGCCGTTTTACTCCGTTTGTTACACTAATTTGTTCAGAAGGTAGGGCTACAGAGTCGTTGCACATATTTTAGGGGAAGATCTGTTGCAACTGAGCACCATAATGTGGCAAAATACTGAGGATTAGACTATTAGTATCTGATTGAGCCTAATCGAATTTCTATATTTACTGAACCCTGCACAATGTAACGATAATATAACTTGCGCTGATGGAAATCTAAGAAGATGCAGCTAAACGCCATCTTGCAGACTGCTGTCCGCTAGTTAGCTTGCTAGCAGGCTTGGCAGTGTAGGCCTAGAGGCAGGGCAGAGCTAGTATTCAAGAATGTAACTCTGGATTAGTAACAATTTCACTAGTGATTTAACCGTGTCCGATCCGATGAATTTTATGACAGATAAACCAACTAGCTAGTAGCATCTAAAGCACACACAAAAAACATAACCACAGCCACTTAAGGGTAGACTCAGCAGCTCTTCCGCAATTGCACGGAGTGCTATGTAGTTAGCCACAAGCCAACCTAGTGGATACACCTAGAAACTCGATGGTTGATTGGCCTGCAGAAATCCACTTACTTACATACTAACAAGCTCGTTAAACCCGACAGTGCACAGTTTATTCGATTACGGTGTATCAGTATATTATACTCTAATCCTGAGGTGGACGCGAGTCTGTATATAACTGCAAGGTCGGCGGCTATGGCCTGTTTGACTTAAGTAAGCACAAAATACACTAACAGACGCGATGTTTTTTTATAAAGTACATGACTATCTATCGTCCATGGCTGCATTACTGCCAATCAGCTAACTGGTGATAAATAACTAACATTACTAACCCAAGTTAAGGCGTTGCACCGGCGGGGCCGTTTCGTTGCAGGAAGGCAGCAATGTGCTAACTTATTAGTTTGGCTTGTGAAAAAAAGGGTGTTAACGCGGATATAATAACTCACGTTAATAAAGTGCGACTGCATATATATGTATAGACACATACAGCGTTGAATGTTTAAGTTAATTAGTGATGCGGTCTGCTCTGCGGTCGCCAAATACCTAACATTTGCTGTTAATTTGTTTACGGGACGTTTATTGTTCCTGCCCAACCCAGTGTGTCATCATCAACTGACAGCAACATCTTTAAATGCAACATTTAGAGTGCAATGCAACCCAGTACAATCACAATGTGCTAACATTATCATCACAGTTGTCTTCAATTTATTTTGGCTATTAATTACCCAGTACTTTGAGTTCAGTATTCTAGGCCAAGAAGCACCTTCACTCGGCCATCACTGACATCAAGCCTCACTGGCCAACATTAACAGCCAGGGGCTTTCGCTATAGAGTGCATAATACATTTACATGGATATGCGTTTTGTAGCAATCCGCCGCCGTAATTATAGATCGCCAGGGTCCACCGCGACAGACACGCCTGTACCATCCTAACTTGTATTTGCTTAGAAGAAAATAGCCAACTTATCGTTAGCTAACTGAACGGCTAGCTTTCGCTAACGTTACCCCACCCCCGGACAGTTCAATTCCGCCACAATTCATTAGCTAATGGCACAAACAGTTAACGTTCCTGTGGAAGATGAGAAAGCACCATCACCATCGCTTTATGTCACCTTACCTGATTCAATTTGCGTTTGTTTTTGCGTTTTGGCATTGACTGGAAAACAAGACGGCGTATACCTCTGATCCACGCATCAACGAACACCACGACGCTAGCATACGAACTAGCCAGCCAGCTAACGTTAGTTTTCCGAGGAGCAGCCCTTCCCCAACGCAGGCTAACGTACCGCTATGGAGCTAGACAACCTCAGTCAGCCAACCGGGGAGGGGAGGGGGAAATCACACCCACTAGCCTTGTACTGAAGGCAAACAAAAAAGCTAATCTTTAAAGTCACTATACCTCATTCAACAAGACAGCCTACTGTCTCCCCTTTGCCAAGCTTAACATCTGCCCTTTCCGTAGTAACACTCTCGTCCGGCCATCGAACGACGAGATGGGCGCGGTAACCCTGCAGTCAGCGCTGGGAAACCCCACGCTGCAGCAGCGACGGGTAGAGAACCTTCGATTGGTGTTTTATCTAACTACAGTTGGAGATGCGTGATCAGTCGCTTTGAACAATGTTTTACACTTATTTATTTTGTCTTGCGTTCAACAAGAGTTGACTGAAAGCCAAGAGAACACGTTGCCCCCCCGTTATCAAGCCTAACTGAAAGGCTGAGTCAGTCACTCGGGCCCCAACTTGGCTCCTAAAGTAGGAAGTGGCATTAATGATTTCAGCAGGGCTGTCTATAGTTAGCTAATAATAGCAGTGTCACCAAGTCAACCTTGCCTTAGATAATTAGTGTATAGTGCGGTTTAGTTTATCGTTTTCAGTTGACTTGCAGTATAGCCAGTCCCTTGAACTATTTCAAAAGAACCCCTTGTTGTATTTAACTACTTACTGAGGCAATTTTAGGAAGCTGTCACAGTTAAACAAACATACATTTCCCTGAAACATCACAAAATAAACTACCCATGTGCAACACATTAACTTTAATTTGTTAAATAGACATGATGTCCTTTAAATTGGCATTTGCTGTCACACTCAAACAAATAGAAGTTAGTTAAGCTAAGTGGGCATTGAGAACATCTTTTACGAGAGATAGCTGGATAACTAACTTGCATACAAAATTAAAATAAGACAATTCAGCCACATAAATCAGCAATCACACACAGTCAAGCTAATGAAACAATCACAAGTAGTCCTATCATTTAAAAAATATCACTAAGTAGAATTCCTTTAGAGCAATGAGCATCTCACAACTTAAAATTTGTTTGCATTTTAATCCAGTACTAAAGTGCATTGTACCAGAAAAAAAACCCTACAATATACCAAACACTTTCTATAAAAAGCATCTGTGGTTGGAACTCATAAAATAATTGCTTTCAGTTGAATGATGTGAATTGATAAATGTGCTTTTAACTATAAATTTGTGTTGAGTGAATTAAGTGAACAAGTTAAGTAAGGGTCAGGAGCAAGGTCACACCTCTAACCACCTGTCAAGCCTAACTTTATACCTGGTTAACCAATCCTCTGTTTGCCTTGTTTGTTTTCTCAAGCCACCCACTTTTCCACTCCATCACACATTCACTCCACACCCGTTCATCCTCTCATCCCTCCTTGCCTTTCCTCTATCAACTATCTTTCTTTCAGTCCTGTGCATACCTCCCCCTTCTCTCTGTTCTTTACATACTGTCGGGGGCTTGAAGTAGGTTCAGGTTTATCTTACATCACTAAAACTTTAATCAAATGTTGTTATGGTGCGGTTCTTACTAGTGTAGATATAAAACTATGATTTAAAATTCATTCCTGACCATCGAAACAGTAGTTGGCAAAACAATCTCAACATAAGGTTTATTTAGTAGCAAGATATAAAACCGTAGTTGCAATATATAGCAGTTTTAAAATTGCCTATGTCAAAAGGCTATTTTGGATGCCTTTTTAAGATTTGTCAAAATGATTGTTGACCACTCTATTTTAAAAAGTTTATCCATTATTTTCATTACATGCATAACAAAGAATACTTGGGATATCTTTATAATAATCTGGTACCAGATGTCTGAATCAGCCCGCACATGAAGTGAAACTAAATGGCAATTATTATTTATCAGGATCATCTTTATTATGGCTTGTCAGCAGAATTTTGATACTAGCATTTGCTCATGACATGCAAATAATTTAATTGCAAAAATGCAGATATTTGTGTTACAACACTGTCAGGGCAATTGTAGGAGAACATCTTTTGTTAAACCCTTTCATGTATCAATAAACAATCTATTACACCAAGTTGTGTAAGTCAGAAGGAGTCCAATGAATGTAAACTGTTTATTTCAGCCAGGTAAAATTTTCCCCCAGACAAAGCTTACATAAAGGTGCCCCTCCTTTAGTTTAGTTGGTTAGTTTTCCTCAAGTCCAGGATGTCTGAGGGATCATGATCACGTTATATGATCACACAGACAGACAGAATTAAGCCTAATGCTGTTGTTTGACAGCACAGATTACACCAAATACATAATAAACATCTGTCCTATGGCAATCTCTGGGAATGTGGGAAAAACTGTAGAAGATTTATATAAAGTTTACTTAAAGGTCTAAAAGGAACCATCTTGTTATGGCTAGTTCTGACTTGTACTATTTCATTAGTGGTTACGGTAAATGATGGGCTATTCGGCTTACAGTGAAATTGTTCATCTTGAGTGTAAAAAACAGAATATAGGACAGAACAACATACATTGCAGTTTTATTGATTAACTTGCTGACTATCGGCTAATGTAAAAATAAAGTCTCAGTACCTTGATTAAGTCAGTGTTACAGTTTTCATTTAGGTTTACTTGGTGTTGTATTTTCACTCAAACTCTATTAATACACAGAGGATCATTGGAGACATGCGGCATACAGATTCATAGCTCTTCCCCTCAACCAACAAATGTGACATTCTTAATGTTCCCATTGCAATGTTGGAAATAACTTCTTGTAGTTAAGTGCCTCCTTATATGGTTGTCTGCTTTCATGAGAGTCACTGGGGTCTGCACAAACACCTGCTAATGGCTAACAGAAAGCTAATTGCAGTTCCCATAAGTGGACCATGTGATGTTGAGGTCAGGAAATGCATCAGATAGTTTACATATTTTGTTATCATGTCTTTTGCCCTGTCTGCCTTGGGATAATAACATCATATTTTAATCAATTACTATTTTACCAAACAAGTTATTCTCCTATATACTGTTTAGTGTTTCCCATTTGTTAGTTGAGATCAGTATCCGAATATTCCTCATGGGTGATTAGCAAGTCCATCCTTTAAGTGCCATAAAAGGTCTTGAAGCATGCTCTTCTAAGCTCTGGGGAAAGAGCGGTTAGAAGTGTAGTAATAATGAGGCTAAGAGATCCTCTCATTCTACAGTAACTGTTGTCACAGTGCTTGTCCTCAGGCGTGTTTGGACTATCAAAGAAAATGGTGAGAACATTAAGAGACAGGAACTAACTTAACATACAAAATTGTTCATACTAACATAGGTAAAATTCAATGTGAAGTAATTGCAGAAGCTTTGCCATGCTGATCTTTACTCTTAACTACTAATATCAAATACTGCAACTTACTAAGCAACCTTCTTCCAGGCCAGCAAGTTAACACAAGAGCAGATCACAGAGTACAAAGGAGTTTTTGAGATGTTCGATGAAGAGGGAAATGGAGATGTGAAGACACAGGAGCTGGAGAGACTGATGAGTTTAATGGGAATCAATCCGACAAAGAGAGAGCTCAGCCAGATGGCCAAAGATGTGGACAAAGATGGTAAATATAAGCCTGCAATGACTGTAAACCCTGTACTATGGAAATGTATCATTCTGTAAAATACATTTAACTAAAATGGATACAACAATGGATATTCTTAGATCGTCTTTTTGACATATGTGGGCCACTGACTGAGATTAAGATAATATAGATTAAATAGTTGGGGTCTTGCACACACCTGTGAAAGCATATCACTTGAACTTCAACTTTATTATATATGTAAATAAAATACTACAACAGCCCTACCATAAATTATCTCTTTTTGATGCACATAATTATCAAAAAGCAGTTGATTCAACTCTATTTTTGGGGCCAAAGTGGTGGCAGTGTTTTTGACTGTTAATGGTGATAGGGAACGGGACAGAACGGACCCAAACGCAACACTCAGTTGAAAGGTGGTTTATTTAGAGGTAACAGAGGGGCTGGGGAAGAGGAGATGGAGGTGAGGCGGACGCCGGGGGATGTGGGCACAGAGGACTGAGGAGCTGGCGAGATGGAGGAAGTGAGGCGAGGGAGCTATGGGAGGCAGGGGACCGGGGAAGGAAGTGGTGTGGTGAGGAGCGGGGGGCGCCGTGGAGGATGCCCGAGAGGAGAGGACCGGTGGGCGAGCCCAGCTGACTGAACGGAGGGCGAAGGTGAGTGAACCTGGGAAGGAAAGCAGAAGGACAGGGTTAGACGCAGGACAAAAAACAAGGGCTGGAAAACAGAGATCACTGCAGGAGTTATCAGGAGCTTGAGAGAAGTTGTGGCACCAGGTTGGGAGCAACGACGATCAAGCAGAGATGGTGTGGAGAACCGGGGTTGATATACAGGCAGGGATGAGGTTGAACTGCTGGCAGGTGTGGCAGGCAGAGGAGGTGGCTGACGAGATGCAGGTGCGGGTCGTTGGCTGGGCCCAGGAGCAGAGGGAGAGAGAGAGAGAGAGAGAGAGCACACGCAGGGGAGGAGACAGGGAGGCAGGCAGATTACAGGAAAACAAAACAGCGCGAGAAATGAAATGAGAAAAAACCAGGACACTCGACATCAGCCGGGCTGCCCCCACAAGTGGATAAGTGGATATTCCATAAGTGGACCATGTGATGTTGAGGTCAGGAAACGCATCAGATAGTTTACATATTTTGTTATCTTGTCTTTTGCCCTGTCTGCTTTGGGATAATAACTTCATATTTTAATCAATTACAATTTTACGAAACAAGTTATTTTCCTATATAACTACACTGTTTAGTGTTTCCCATTTGTTAGTTGAGATCAGTATCAGAATATTCCTCATGGGTGATTAGCCATCCTTTATGTGCCGTAAAAGTTCTTGTAGCACGGATTGTAAAATGGTTCTATTTACATACATGAACAATGCCTTTAAATGCTTTTAAGCAATGCCTTGCATGTATTCTGAGCTGCACCGGGAGGTGAGGATGGAAGTAGAAGCTTTATCTGTCTAAGGTTTGTCTCAAACCAAGTAAGTAATTAAAGTGCTAAATAAGGTTCTGTAATGATAGCCTGGACATTAACATTAGCTA